TTCAGTCGCCCTGACAACAAGACTAAGTTGCGACAACGAGGTCAACCCACTTCTAATTAAGGATAATTGAAATTTATTTACAGCGTATCGAAGTGGTGAGAGGTAGGAGCGTATTGCTTTATTTTGTTTGAGAACTCTTTTATTTGCGTATAGAATTTGTTATAAAAGTGTATCACAATTTAGTATTGCTGTTATAGCGATCAAATCAAACGAGCACGTCTAGCTTCCTCTGCTAATCTTATCATGATTATTTCCAACTTCTTAATGTACCAAGTCCATGGCTCGACTATGGCAGAGGAGGCTAGGCTAGGTATATCATCCAAAGGCGCCGTGATAACGCGACATAGTTAAAGAAATAAAGTTACAAAATTTTATTTGCTTTCATTCTATTAAAAACAAATAAAAAAAACTAATTTTTTGTCTATAGGGAGGTTTTTAGAACTGTCAGTAGATTATATTTATGAGATGTATTCACCCTATTTCGTTAAGGTGATGAAAGACTGGTAGCTGAAATTTCTCACAATCATTTGAATAGGCCTCGTGTTTCCATCGAATTTCGCATAGCCTTGCTTCCCAAGAGATATTCTCATCCAGACAGGAGTGAACTGCAATTTAGACTTTAACTGGGTCTCATCAGCACCTCCAATGCGACGGGAAGAGTGGCATTGCAGTGATTAATCTCGATACGTTGACCACTACACACCACACTGCCATGAATGCCCTTGTATCACATTGCATATGTGAATTTTAAGGACGACCTGGCCTATTTAATATAACATTAAGTGGTGGCATTTCCTATGAAGAAAGTTGTATTTGCAATGACGCTAGACTAGATTACTTATTTTTTGTTTATATAAGTTTTAGAATAACCCTAACGATATTGGGTGATTATATCTTATAAATATGATCTACAGGTAGTCTCGAAAACCTACTTATAAACGAAAAATTAGTAACATAATTATTGCTATAGCAAATAAAACTTTGCTTCATCGATAATTCCACATGTTAAAAGGTCTGGATGCCTATGAGATTCATATATGCCCTGTGACATAAGAAAACTTGCGGCAGTATGACGTAGTGTTTAATTTGTCAAGATTATACGCTGTACAATCACAGTTCAAATCCCGCTGAAGATGCAGAGGAAATCCAGACGAGGTCAATACTACAGTCTATTACTGCCTGAATGATAATAGCTTTTAAGAAGCAAGACTATGTGAAATTCTATCGAAGTATGAAGTATATTCATATGATTATGGGAAAATTCAACTCTCAGTCTTTCATCATCTTAACGAACTAGGGATAATATATCTCATAAATTTCTTCACTTACGTTTACTGGGCAATTCAGCCAGGGGAAGTGCATGACGGGGCTCTAGATCGCGGTCCCCATTCTTCCTTTACCAAATCCTCAACATATATAAATATACACACACATATAGACCGTTTATTACCAATCTATCTGTATACGTTAATGCGAAAGCTAGACAAATAAAGGATGGACCAAAACAAACGCAGTCTCGTATCAGTCTTGCGTTACCATGCCAACGAAGGACCAGGAATAAGTACACCTTTTTTAGAGATACAAAAATGTAAAAATAGCCTATTTGGCACAATCGCCATCATAATAGTAATAATCTGGGAGACTTCGGTGATCAGATGCATAGCTTTTTCATCCAAATTAGACTATCTTTATTCCATCCTACACGACCATCCAGTGCCACATATGCATGAATTTCTATTCCTCATGTAATATACCTCATGGTCCTATAAGATGCCGAATTAGTTATCTCTTGATCTAAGTATGATTTTCCAAATTTCAACATTTTACCGTTTCGTTAGGGCAAATTTAGCAGGGCTATTATGCTTATGACATCCAATAATCAACTTCGCACTTGAGATGTATTCCATCGGATGAGTTAAGTACTCATGCGATCATGTAATTTTTACTTTTCTTGCTGAGGAAAGCAGGCATGTTTTAATGGGTTAGCTGATGCCTGAAAATGAATGGGATTTTCTTTTTTGGCAAGAGGGACTCAACTACGCGTCCTGAGGCATAATCGCATAAGATCTTGTCTAGTAGTGGAAGTTGAAATAGATCAAAAGTGATTCTCATGTAGGCATCAAAATGCAAATTCGAATTTAATGGAACAAATATATAATAACATCAGAAGTCGGGCCATTATTTAATGAAATTTTGCAAAGGTTATGCCATCTTCATGATCAAATTCGTGCTGCAAGCGGCAAGCTTTTCCAAATCGTAGGATTAAACTTTATGCTTAGGAGCTAGGATCAAGAGATTTAGTATGAACCACAAACCTGACCAAATAATGTTGCATAGCCCAAGCAAAGCTATTTTTATTTTTCAGCTCTCTACAACTTAGAAGAGAGGCTCCAGTACAAAGTTACCCGGTTTACATGATGAGCAGTTCCAAAGATTGTGGTATAAGCTGCGCTGCAGACCCTTTATTTCACCTCAACGCACACAATTTTAAATAGGCGTCTAAATTCCCAATCTGCTTTTTTTGTCCTAACGATGCAGTATGCCTAGTGGTTGAAGAATATCCAAGATAATTTTGATCTTCATATTAGCGCATATGTATTTATAGGCTACATTCTCTGGGTATCGGATAACACCGACTTTTTTTAGTCTTGCCAACCTCTTGTGACTCGACTTTTCATTTACAATTGAAAATCTAGTTTGAAGGTATTTTGAGTTGACTTTACCGGTAGCCGAAGAGGAATATTAGATTATGAGAAAGGAAATATTTAGACCACTGTCCTGCGAACCCAAAGAATTCATACCGAGCTTTCCCCTGTCAAGCCGCAGACATGGTAAGAGTTAGCAAACATCATTTACAACAGTGGCGCCCAGCATTTATTAATTCTGCTCAAAGAATGTTTTAAGGGTCGGATATGGGCTTCGCAAATAGGGTTTATGCTGAGGCAAGTGAGGCGTAGTTGTTAGTGAAGCAGCCTTCAATACATTCTCTTCCGAATACTTTAGATCTGTCCTAGGTTCGAGTCGTTCGCTCTGGAGATTTCTGTGAATTACAACATAGGATTAGGGACAAACCCTTGGAACGAAGTTGACCGAAGTTGACCGAAGTTGATTAGAGAGGATTTTGCATGTAAGTGTATATTGGACAAATTAGTCTCTTACAATTTCCTCCGGTGCTAACAATCTATGAAGTTTTCCGAACCACACCCTAAGAGAGGAAGGACACAATTATTTGGTATTCGCGATTTTTAAAAAATGGTAACTATCCTATTGGCAATTAGATTTTATCAAGTAAATAACAACTAAATAAATAGATGAATATTAACGATAATTTGATAATTTAAAATAAATAAATAATGACTAAATCGTCCTCGAAACTGGCAAGTCGGCAAGGCCGTCTGCGAGGCAACCTAAGCAGTTAAGTCTGCGATTTGTCTTTTGTCTTTTTTTTATGCTAAAGAGCCCTCACCTTATGACACCTGCAACGGGACTCATTACATATGCCCATCAAGCAGAAGGCCGATTGCCAGGGCATTCCTCTGCGATGGAGACGTTGACTGTATGGAGGATCAGGCGGATGAAACGAATTGCGGTGAGTTAGTTGTTAACGCGTAATCAAAAATGCATGTTTCTATAAATTATATACCCTTTACATGGTGCAAACAAAGGACTTCTTAATCGAAGGTATGAAAACTAAGATGGTGTGGCCTTTTGTGTGGTCGCAGACTCCTTTCGTTGTATACAAGTTGTTTGATCTTGTTTTCGCAACTTGGTCAAGTCCAAGGCTCTGAAACAGCGTCACGATGAAGCCAATTGACAACTGGTCAAAAGGAATCTGCCATCGTCTTCTGGTGGAACCGACCTTCAAATCTCTTCACCCAACACTTTCACTCAAAATGGAAGTAAGCTCAACAATTATGAAACAAGAGATTACTTGAAAAACAACTTTTCTTCGCATAAATTAAGTTTACTTTTGCCAATTCGATGTACAAATGGCTTCGCTTTCTAACTCTGTTCGATGGTTCAGGTGGACCCCATGTTGTGGAGCCAAGTCGAGTGGAACATCGTCTCGGACTGGAAGGTGGGCAGCTGACGCTACGCTGTGTAGTCCAGGGCTACCCGCCGGCGACTATCAACTGGCGTTACAATTGGGGCTATCTACCTGATGGTCTGGCCTATCGCACCAACACGACTATGATCAACTGCAACCTGGTCATTAGCGAACTTACACTCACCAAACTGGACGGTAGCGCCAGCGGCATGTATACGTGCGAAGCGGTTGGCAAGCAACGTGTTCTGGCGCCAGATTTCACTGTGAATGTCGCAAGTAAGTGGGATTTGTACCGCTGCCCTTTTCATAGCGCATTTTACTGTTTTTATACTGATAATTGCAGCCTGACATTGGAGCCAACTAACATGATTGCTATTCTGAAGGGGCTATCCAACATGCTTATTTTATTTCTACTTAGCTAAATATGGCGAAATAGACTCTCTCATTCCAACTCTCTAGTGGGATTGAAGATATGAAGACCAAGATGTTGTGGCCTATGGTATGGTCGCAGTCTCCTTTCGATTTATAGAAGTGGGTCGCAACTTGGTCTTGTTGTAGAACGCACCTAGTCCGAAGTCGTCTGCCATAGTAGTTGTCATGACTTCTAGCATCTGACAGTGGACTTGATACATTCTCAAACGTTTCACCGGCATCGTAGTCGGCATCATCAGTGAGTTTTGCCATTCTCCGCACCAAGATACGAACTCTTCAAAGGGACAAATGGAGTCAATCATTCGACAAACGTTCTGCCTCCTCTTTCTGTCAGAAGTGGTGTTAAGGCGGCAGTGGGATAAGAGGGAAAAGAGTAGATAGATAGGCCAGGACAGAAAGAGGAGTGATAGTGTAAC